GGACCGCCAGCCGCAGACGGTGGTGCTCAGGCTGATGACTAGGGACCGCCAGCCGCAGACGGTGGTGCTCAGGCTGAACTCGAGTTCTATTTACAGGTTAGGTCAGCTACAAATCACCAAAACACCCCGCCCTTTTGTTCTTCATTTACTGTCTATCTAGGGAAAACAAACAAACAAACAAACATGTTTAAAGTGACCAGGTAGACTTGGTTCCGCTATTCTATTGAATGCTACTACTTCATGTTTGTGTTTTTTTCAAAGCGAGATTTATTTTATTTTAATTGTGTGTGTTGGATAAGTACTTGCATGAGGGTGTTAGATCCTCTGGATTTGGAATTATAGACAGTTACAGACTACCCTCTGTGTGTGCTGGGAACTGAACTCAGGTTCTCTGTAAGAGCAGGACATGCTCTTAACTTCTGAGCCATCTCTCTATCCCCGCTAATGAGGTTTTCATCAGAGATTTCAAGAACTTTCATAACTTCCTTTAATGGCTTTGATGTATTATGTTGAAAAAAAAAGCTTCTTGTACATTTTAAAATGATGGTAACAATAACTGATTACAATATAACAATAATAATAACAAATCCATTGTCTCCTCCCATTTCCCATGTCAATCTAGAAAAAGATTAGAAGATATTATATAAAATCAATCTTTAGACAATACCCTATAAGTTTAGAAATTATAAAACCATATAGAAAGAAAACAGAACACATACTCGTACTCTCACTTTACAGAGGAGGCTGTGGAGGCTCAGAGCTAAAGAACAGTGCCAGTCTGGAGTTTGGGACTGACTGAACAGTTGTGCTCACTCCACTGTGTCTGATGTCTTTATGCTAGGTTTCCAGCAGCATGTGTAATCTAACCTCCACCGTATACAAATTCAAAGCAGATGGTTACCTAACACATCACTGAGGGCATGTTTCAAAATACAGTTGCTTGGGCCAGGTGTGGGGGTGCACACCATTAATCCCAGGCCTTATGAGGCAGAAGAAGGTGGGTCTCTGTAGGTTTGTGGTCAGCTTGATCTACAAAGTGAGTTCTAGAACAGCTAAGGCTACATAGATCCTGTCTCAGCATACGCCTTTGAGACCCTACAATTCAAAACAAGGTGTGAGAAAGTGTACTTTAAATCCCAGTTTCCTCTTGGAATCAGATACTCTTCAATAGAGGGGCCTACAAGCTTGGGTAGCCCTGGTTTGGCTTGTTGTACTGGTTGTCAGAAATACAGAAGGAACACCACGGAGATGGGTAGGGTTTCCATAAGGAGTGTTTTGTTGGTGGTTTGTTTGTTTGTTTAACATAGGTTAACCATAAAAGCCAACCAACACTGTGTCTTTGTCCCTGAAGGCTCCACAGGAGTGTGAGCAGCACTGCTTCAGCAACAGAGCCTCAGGGCCACATCTTGGGAAGAATATGGCCACTTCCTGGGGGGCCGTCTTCATGCTGATCATAGCCTGCGTTGGCAGCACTGTCTTCTACAGAGAACAGCAGACTTGGTTTGAGGGTATCTTCTTGTCTTCCATGTGCCCCATTAATGTCAGTGCCAGCACCTTTTATGGAATTATGTTTGACGCAGGCAGCACTGGAACTCGGATTCATGTTTACACTTTTGTGCAGAAAACAGCAGGTAAGTACATATGGAACCCTTTGCAGTCTGCGTGAGTCTGTACCTTAGCATCTTCTCCCAGAAACAAACGCTGAGTGTGTCATGTGGGTTAGAGACCTTTCCAGCTGTTGGATGTAGTTAGAGATGTAACACATAGTTTAGTTTAGTGTGGAATTAAGAGAGACTTCTGTGGGACAGACTGAGGCTTAGCTCAGTTGGTAAAACATTTGCCTAACATTCACAAAGCCCTGGATTTGATCCACAACACCACATAAACAGGGCATGGGAGGTGAAAGCAGGAGAATCAGGAATTCAAGATCACCCTCAGCTACATAGGATATTTGAGAGCAGTATACAATACAAGATGTCATACCAAGCCCTGCTTCTCCCCTGAAGTGGCTCGAGAGTGCTGCCACTATACCACAGTGAGAAGGCAAAGTCTGAAGTGTGGAGTCCACAGTGTTCTCAGGTCTCCTCTCTAGGTACCCGAGTGCTGTCATATAGTGGAGAGAGAGGGACTTGAGAACCAGGGGTCCACCGGTCTGACTTTCCCTCCAGGAGGCTGTGTGCAAGGCAGAGAGGGGAAAGGCAGATCCCGGGACAGTGGAACCGGTCTGATTTGGAGTAAATCCCGAGAATATGGAGGGGCTGGAAGAGAGAAGGTCTTCCTTGGGAGATTTAGACCCAGACCTTTAAGACAAAGGCCTTCCTCAACAAAGAGATGACCCTGGCTTGTTCATACTGGCTTATTTGATGGTGGATGTGAATGTGTACACTTCATTTGGGGTGAACCAGGAATTAAATATGTTTTGTGGGGAAGAATGCCCAGGAAGGGAAGCTCATTGACCGAGTGGTATCTAGATACCTCATGGAGAACTCCAGGTGTTTATGCTATGTGACCCAGTACCCATGGTCCTCAGTGGGGTGTTATGGTTATCTGTTCCTGAAAGAGACAGGTAGGGAATGGCTCCACTCCTGCCATTCTCAATTCTGAGATTCCTAGGTTATAACTCATTCAACTTTACTATTTTTATGCCTGTCTGGTAACAAGGTCCCACTTGCCCTATGACAACAGCCATTGTCTTGAAAAGGAAACAGGGAGTTTTGAGTCCAAGTGTAGCTGTAATTTGTCCTTCATCTTCTCTAAAGGTTAATACCCCAAAGGTCCAGAGTATTGAGGAGGCTGGCAGTGATTCTGGGGAGAGGCATCCCCATGAGTTTTCACTGCCATCCTTGGAAAGGTGACTGAGGGGTCCTTTTTCTGGATTATCTGGAGAGCCCAAGAAGCCCAGGCAGGAGGACTGCAATTCAGGTTATATAGGGAGTTCAAGCCAGTTCGGGCCACATATTGAAACCCTTTCTCAAAATTTTTACTAAAAGTTTAAAAAATAAAGAGTGGGGGAAAACAATAAGAGCTAGAGTCCCAACAGAGAGACAATGACAGGGCCTCTAGGGCTGTGTGACAGCCTGTGTTCTCCTTCCTAATACTGCTGCAGAGCCCTCCGCAGATCATGGGGCCACCATAGGGATAGAATAGCTCTGGATGAAGACGGTTTTAATCTATTAAACCGTGTACCGATGTCAAGATTAGCATCTGAGGCAGCCTACCACCTACTAATCATCTCCTCCTCGCTTCCTCTGCTTCCTCCTCCCTCTTCTCCTTTCTCCATCCTTCCTTCTTCTCGTCTCGCCTCGTCTCGTCTGTCTGTCTGTCTGTCTGTCTGTCTGTCTGTCTGTCTTTGTTCCATGGACAAAATAGGACAGCTCCCCATTCTGGAAGGTGAAATTTTTGATTCTGTGAAGCCAGGACTTTCTGCTTTTGTGGATCAACCCAAACAGGTGAGTCTTACAATTTGATGGGGTTTGTTTCCATTTTATGTATCTGAGGGAGCAAACCCAGGGGGAGTGCTCTACGGCTGAGCTCTGTCCAAGAACCTTTTCCATTTTTATTTGAGATAGCATCTTACTAAGTTGGCATGGGTGGCTTTGAACTCACTCAGTGGCATAAGGCCTTATAATTGTGATCCTTCTGCCTTGGCCTCTTGAATAGCTGTGATTAGGCCAACAGAGCCAGGCCTGGCTTAATTTGATGTTTAGAGTTCTGAATCTTGATACGTCTACAACACCCCCTTTGTTAAACACCTCCTGGTGTTCAGTAATAACACTGATGGGACACGAGATCACCTTTCCCTCAGTGAGTCCTCTCAATAACCATAACGCTATACCGCAGACATGCAAGGAGTAGGTAGAAGGCTAGAAAGTAGATTTTTGGAGCTGCACAGATACCTCCCTGAGTAAGAAAGAGGACTTGCTCTCCAAGTATGAGGAGCTGAGCTCTGATCCCAGAACCCTAGTAAAAACCACGGCATTTCGTGAATGTTTGTAACCACAGCTCAGTGGGAACCAGAGCCAAGAGAATTGCTGGCCTTTGTTAGCTTCCAGTGTAGGCAGGGATGGTGATTCATACCTGTAATCCCAGCAGTTGGAGGCTGAGGCAAGAAGATTATTACCAAGAGTCAGAGCCCAGCTTTGGCTACATACTGATAATATGTAAAATAGTTTTGCCTTTGTTTTGGTTTGACATCTGAGAGACCCTGTCTCAAACAAACAAATGAATAAACAGAACGGTGTGAGCTTAAAGAACTGAGACAGTTTCTAGTTTAGCAGGTGAAATGGCCGATGTCCTGAGTACTGAACTGTTGAAAGTAGTTACGTTAGCAGAAGATGATCTGACACTTAGGAAGGATGATTGATTAGATTGTGCTTGCTAAGGGGAAGAGTGTGGTGGCTCACACCTTTCATCTCAGCATGTTGGAGGCTGAAGCAGGGCAATCAAGATTTGAAAGTTAGCTCTGGCTATATAATGACTTTGTCTCAAAAGGTAGGGGCAGCTTGTTAACAGAATAAATTTTCACTTAAGAAAACACTGGGTTTACATCTTTTTCATTTTTTTATGTGTATGGATTTTTTTCTGTATATCTGTCTGTGCATCACATGCATACCGTGTCTGTGGTGGACAGAAGAGAGGATCACATACCGCCAGGACTGGAGTTACAGACAGTTGCGAGCTGCCATGTGGGTGCTGGGAATCAAACCTGGGTCCTTACAAGAGCAACCGATGCTCTTAACCATGGAGCTATCTCTCCAGCTCCAAAACCAATCCAAAATAATAGTTTTAAATAGCCATATGTTAGTGATATGCTGTGTGCCATGTATGTTGGTATTAGTGATAGAAAAGAAAGAAAGAGAGAGAGAGAGAGAGAGAGAGAGAGAGAGAGAGAGAGAGAGAGAGAGAAAGAAAGAAAGAAAAGGAAAAGAAAGAAGAGAAAAGAAAAGGAAAAAAAAAAAGAACCAGGCTGGAGAAATGGCTCAGCAGTTAAGAAGACTTCCAGAGTTTCTGTGTTCAATTCCCAGCAACCACATGGTAGCTCACAGCCATCTGTAATGGGATCTAATGCCCTCTTCTGGTGTGTCTGAAGATAGCAACAGTGTATTAACAAAAAGAAGGAGGAGGAGGAGGAGGAAGAGGAAGAAGAAGAGGAAGAAGAAGAGGAAGAAGAAGAGGAAGAAGGGAAGGAGGAGGAAGAAGAAGAGGAGGAAGAGGAAGAGGAGGAAGAAGAAAGAAGAAAAAAAAGAACCTATTACATTATGTCCTAGAGATTATATAACAGCTATGGCTAGCATTTTGTGAGCACTGTACCCCTTTAGTATACACAGCAGTTTAGTGACAATATGAGACGTACCTGCCAACCCCTACCTTACTTAGAAACCCAAGCCCCAGGAAAGCAGAGCAGCCCACATTAGGTCATGGCTAGCAAGCAAGTTCTGTGACTCCAGCTCTTGAGGTCTCTAACTTTCTGGCTTAAATCTAATTTACAGAAACATAAAAGAACACTCATTCAACATGGCATCTCTGTAGAAGAAATGGGGTCTCCTCTTTTAAAATGTTCCATTTCTCTAGATTTTGCTTCTGACAAGCAGAGGGGTTGGAACACTCATTCTACCAGATAATTTGTGTTGTTCCCTGCCTCTCTCTTGAAGGAATAGACCAGTGCTGCCAAGTGGGCTGCTGCTGGTTGACTGTGCTCTCTTTTTTAAAGGGTGCTGAGACTGTTCAGGAACTCTTAGAGGTGGCCAAAGACTCGATCCCCAGAAGTCATTGGAAAAGGACCCCAGTGGTTCTGAAGGCAACAGCTGGACTGCGTTTGCTGCCAGAACAGAAAGCCCAGGCTCTGCTCTCTGAGGTGACTTTTGAATCTAGATCTTGGATAAGGTTCTTTTCTTTTAAGGAGCCCTTTGGATGACAGCTGCTTTCACTGACCTTTCATTGCTCAGCCATGGTAGTGGCCCAGATAGTAACTAGTCATTTCCATTTTAAGTTAACACCCTTGAACTTAAAGAGTCTTTCCCTCAAAAGTTCAAAGTACTCCCTTTCATGATGTTTTTATTACATTGATTTATATGTGTTTGTGTGTGTGCACTCACATGTGCCACAGCACAGCGTGGAGGTCGAGGACAACTTACAGTTCATTCACTCTTCCTACCAAGTGATCCTAGGGCTCAAACTCAGATCATCAGGCTTGGTAGCAAGTGCCTTTACCCACTGAGCCATTTTGCCTGCCCCCAACATATTCTTCATTTGAATTTTCGAAAGGTATAACATAGAAATGGTTTTAAATAAACTCCACCAAAGAAAATGTTTGGCCGGGCAGTGGTGGCGCACGCCTTTACTCCCAGCACTTGAGAGGCAGAGGCAGGCGGATTTCTGAGTTCGAGACCAGCCTGGTCTACAGAGTGAGTTCCAGGACAGCCAGGGCTACACAGAGAAACCCTGTCTCGAAAAACCAAAAAAAAAAA